GCTTAGAAATTTCAATCTGGGGGTTTTAAACATGCTTCAAGTGATATTGCCATATGCTTAATTAATAACGTCACATTTTTTTTTTAAATTTTAAATGATTATTATATTTTTTAAAGATTCATTTAACTTGTAACCTTAAGGCATAAATTAAGAGAGTTTTAAATGTAATTTTAATGCATTAATTTACATAAAAAAATTAGTATTAATTTTAAGTCTTTAATATAAAGATATTTTTGATTGGATAATTAATAAATTTAATATCAACTTTTTAATTCTATTATGAATATTAATGATAAAAGGGTGTAATAAATACACCTACTCTAGAAAAATCTCATTTTTTTATTCATTTAAGAAACAAAAAATATAACATTTCAAAATAAAGTATAATGTAAGGATATAATAGTCAATTATATTTAAAAAATGTAGCATTATTGAATTGAGCTTTTCATTTTTTATTTCTTAGTTTTCGAGATTGATGAAGAACATGATGATATTAAGGTTATTGTATATAAAATATATAATTAAGTTAATATTTGAAGTAAAGGCTAGAAGTTTAAAACTCTATATTTTCTGGCACTTAACCTTTTATTGTATCAAAAAAATTATATTTAATTTAATTGTTTAATTAATATATTATATAAAAAAATGATTTGGAGATAATCCTTTTATATCTCTAAATTATTTTTTTACATAATTTTATGTATCATTTAATGATTTACTCTTTTTATTTATTTGAAATTTATAATATTAAATGTATTCATTCATTTAATGATATGTTAAAATTGTCTCTATATTAAGTATATCTACTCATTTAACAATATTTTAAAGTTGTATAAAAATATTGTCCCTTTATCTCAACCCTTCCACATATAATATTTAAAATTAAAAAAATGAATACGTGATAAGTTAATGTCCATTTAGGCATTTCTGTTGGCAGAAGGACCAAGTTGGAAGTGAAAATTTAAGGTTTACAGATGACTTTAATAGTTTTTTAAGTTTAAGGACTAACATTGTCTAAAACTAAAAGTTGAGGGACCAAATTTGATGCTTTAACCTTAAAATTATAGTTTGATGAGATAAAGGCAGTTAAAAATAAATAAATAATTAAAGAGCAATAATAATAATAATAATAATAATAATAATAATAATAAAAAGAAGAGCAGCCACAGGCAGGCGTCGTCAGCCATAGCAGAAAAGCCGGTAGCCTCCGCTCCACCACGGTTTCTGCAAATCACCAACTAGCGTAAAGCTCAAACTCCGACCGACGCACTGCTCGCCCGTTCCCTTCAGGTGAGTTTACCTCGGCCGTTTCTTCAATTAATCTATTGTTAATGATTTTTGCCCATTTTTTTACCAACAATTTATTATCCCTTCCAATCAAAATCGAAATCGCAATCATTCAGTTAGTTTCAAGTCTGTGACTTTAATCTGTCGGAATTTGATGTTAGTTTATGATATGATCCGAGGATTTTATTTCTTATTTCTGTCTGTTTAGGTTTGGTTGTTGATGATTGTTTTGTGGTTGGTTTCTGAGAAAGGGAAAACAAAAAGAGTCAAATTCCTTAATTACCTCGTGCTTTGTGACTTCAACCTTTGATTTTGATTCTGTTGTAACAGACTAGAAACATGCCTCGGATAAATATGATGCTCAACAGCACACCTTCTTCTTTGGTAGATCTTTGTGTTAGGACAGCTATAGATAATGTAAGATACCTTGGAGATGTTGGCGAGACAGATTTGCATCTTCTAGATCGAATTTTGCAACATTGTACACTTGATCAGTTGATGCATGTGGAGAAGAGTACTAAAGTAAGACCGATGGATTAAGTACTAGCTATTTGCTATCCTTTTTTTTTTTTGGTGCCTTTGATTTGTTTGAACTTTTGTTTTTTTTTTTTAGGGAAGAGATCTTAGCCCTGTAACTGATAAGCTATGGAAGAAATTCTATGAGCAGCAGTTTGGTGTTAAGAGCATGAATGTTGTAGTTGAGAGGATGAAGAAGAAGAAAGTCTCATTCAAATGGAAACAGTTGTATGAGGTCGTCTTTCTTTTGAATTTCTTTTCTTGTATTTTATGCAGCTTGCATTTAAGTTGTTGATGACTTATTATCAATGTGTCTTTCTAACAAAGCATGCACTCGATTGCTAAAGAGGATGACTTACTTGCAGGCAAAAGTGAAGGACATGAATGAAGCTGAGAATAAAGCAGCTGATCGACTTAAGCAACTGTACAAGAAAGAAAATGCCCGTATGTTCCTTGTTCTTAAATTTTTCTTTCACTTCTCTCCAAAAGGAATACCATACTTAAACTGCATTTAGGTCTCCTTTCCAGCAAATGGTAATGCAAGTTACCAATTGCAAGCATGAAGTTTTATGAAATGGCCATGTCATTCATAAATTGTTGAACACTATACCTTTTGCTTGGTGATACTTAGTGGAAACCTGCTTTGACCAAAATTATGTTGATCACGGCCTTTGATTTCAATTCCTTTTGTTTCTCTTGTCATCTCAATGTGAACTATAGATTTACATTTATTTATAATTTTTGTGTTGCAAACTTTGCTTCTTTTCTTGCATTTCCCTCTGCTAAGTGGGAAAATCCAACATCAATTAAGTTTGTGGTTTCTTGTGGTCTTATATTAGAGCTGGGCCTCTCCACCTGTTGTAAATTGGTACTCTTTAATACCTTGATCATACAAGTTGAAATATTCTGATTCAATTTTTTTAGACTTGTAATTAAATCAGGATTTCTTTTTGTATTTGTTTTTAAGTGATCCAGTTTTGTGTGCTGTTGTGCTGTGTTCAGGTATTATAAAGAGAAGTTCCCAAGCCATCAAATTAGTATCCATGCTAGCTTACATGATCTTGGTTAGAAAAACCAATGAAATCAATTGGCTGTCTCTACTTTTAAGCATGAAAATTTTGCTCTGTCATCAAATAATTCTAAGTTTGATAATGAAAAAGTTTGATTAAGTGAAGTCAAAAGGTGGTTCTGATGGTCCTGACAGAGAGCTTCAGTCAGTCTCAAAAGATCCTCGTCTTTTACATCCCCCAATGTGGCAGATGAGTGATGATAGGAATCTCAATCATGTGGTCACATGAATTCTATTTTATGGTGTTCAAATAATTGTGCAAGTATCTTTATCTTTGAATTAAAATGAGCTTAACTGAGTGTTTTTTATTTCCCTTTAAGAGTACCCTTTCAAACAGGTTGGGTCATGGAAATGACCAGAAAGATGCAATTTTAGTTAGTATGAATTTTATTTTCTATTTTATGTGAGGGGGATGCTGTGACCTATAACAATAATTATAGATTAGCACTGTGAATTAGAAGAAATGACATTTTGCATGTCCTGTTCTCGTGCTGTTAATTTTTTTTCCCTTTTATGTAGGATTGTCCTGCTCTGTGCTGTGGCTGAATTTCTGACCAAATTTCAAATTTTACAGGTAAACAAAGTCGGCAAGTTCAGCTTTGCTCTAAAGTCCCACCTTCAAGTAATAAAAGAGGCTTTTTTGCAGGTAACCATCTTATTTGCTTTCTGTCCATGAACTTCATTGTAGCCAAATGATTTGTTATTGGAATTTATGCAACTTTGATTGTCTGCTGCTTTCATGATAAATAGGCTCTTTTTAGGAATTTCAAGAATTATTGATGGAGCTTGATCAATGCTTGTAGGACCTGGCTACAATCTTTCTAATGTCAAAAGCAACATAATGAAGAAAGCAAAGATAGAGCTTATGAAGAGGTAATGCAATGCTTCATTTATTATTATTATTATTATTATTATTATTATTATTATTATTATCATTATAATACAGACATTGAAGATAAGATATATTATTCACCTCCCTTTGAACTTGTATGGAAGTTGTCTTATCTCTCCTTATAAGAGCTTGTTCATCTTCCTAGCTCCAAGGAGATCTTCTGTTGCCATTGAAGCACTTCACAAAGAATACAAATTCCCAGATTTCTTTTGCATCCCATTTCAGAACTCAAGGTTGAGTTTTCTCTAATTTGGGAAGAACATGCAATCATTGAAAAAAGGTCCTAGAAGTCATGTTCTTTTCAATTTTAGAGTTATTATTTTATTCTTTCCTATTTCAATTAGAGATGAGGTTAAGGTTAGTTGAAATTCCAAATGTACTGCAGGTAAGTAGCTTTAGTTTCATATGTTTTAAGGGGTGAGAAGAGAAAGGAATGGAATTAGGAAGACACTTTTATTGTGGCTTTAGTTTCACATGTTTAGTGTCTTGAACTTGTGAATGACAGTTTAATATTTTCTTTATGCCTTAAGTGTAGAATTGGGATCAAGTAGCTAGCTCGATTGGCGTATTTTTGGAAATTAATTTTTCATTCTTCTTTCCTCTTTAAACAGTCAAGAAGTGAAAAATCTCACAGCCTTGAAGAGAAATGCAGTGCAAAGGAATTATAGGTAATATTCTCACCCATAGGTTGGTTTTTCATCCGTGTGCATGAATAGAATTTAAAGATTAATGCATGTTTGTTACTTGATTGTGTTACAACCACAGTCCTTCAGCCACAACAAAGTCAAATGGGTTTGGAAATAATTCTGCTTCAACTTCAAAACAGACCACTTCTTTGAACAGAAGATTTTAGAAGCCTGGGATCAGGATCTTTGGATTGTTGTTTTCTATCAGCTTTCTTCATCTTCTTTGTGACCTTATCTCTCCGTAACTTTTTTGTATTTTTTTTTTTTTTTTCACATTGAAACATAAGAAGAGATTCATGTGTAATTTGTTAAAACTAATAATACAATTACTTCTGAAGAGAAGCAAGCTCAACAAGAACCTCAATTGCTTTCATTTAAGCAGCGCGATTGTTTACATCATAAATTGTAAATTTTGGGATTATACGTGTCAAATTATGTTTTGAATGGATGGATAAGGTTGTGCGATGTTAGATTCGCTGTTTTGAGGCCTTTAACAGATCAGGTGCCACTTGGGAGGAGTCCAAAAAGGATTGGGTTTATCTCCTAGTTACCTATTTGAGTTATGGTGGACCTGTGGCTGCTATTTTTTAGGAGATAAATCAGTTAAAAGGTCGAGTTGGCAAATAACAAGGACAAGGGGCGGGATTTGGGTGAAGTTCTGACTCAGTCCATGTTGATCTGTTCATCTTCTTCAAGAAACCACTCATGTTGTGCAATCGCCAAGTAGTGGGGACTTATAGACATCAGAGAAGACAAACAAAAGTAAATTTTTTGATTATTCAACACAAGGTTAGCTCTGAACACAATCTATAACTAGTTTTAACACTCTTAGATCTTGTTATAATTACTCACTTTAACTTTCAGATTTTAGTTTTTAGCACAATTTCAAGCAGATTTAGATCGTTTTTAGGATTTAAATAGCAAAATTAGTTCGTGTAGTTGCTTTTGCTATTCCTTTTTGTGTAACGGATAGCAAACATTTCAATTTCAGTAAAGGACTATTCTCTTTCTGTTTTGTATTTCTTTAAGGTTTATGATTAGTGTTTATTCAAATGATTACTTATATAGCATTTTTTTTTTTTTTGGTTTTTGGCATGTTAGTTTAATCTTTGTTCCTATTAGTTTCATAATTATTTAGAATTAAATTTCCAATTCTATCTATAGATTGTATTTTAATTTGGTGATGAACATATTTAGTTTAACTTGTATGCATCTTTCGTTTACAAGTTTACTTTGATTTGCACTTCATTTAATTTATTTAGGATCTATTAACTTTAATTCATTGTAGTATTTAAGTCATTAGAACTGTTCAAGATAGATTTAGTGATCCATTCTTCAGGAAGACATTTCTTTCTCTTACAAATCATCTAAAGGTGTAAATTACAAATTTAAACCAATGTTTTTCCTGCCATCCATAAGGAGGTCAATTGCAAGGAAAGAGAAGGTTGTAGGAAAAATCTTCTTTTCTTGCTTTGCAGAAAAACAAGTGGTATGCCCCATGTCCAGATCTACCATGTGTGGTGACATTTTAGGATTTTTGAGGAAATAGTGATGTTGTTGGAACTTACTGCCCACCTCTTGCTAAACCGGTAAGGTCTCACCTTTAGTGAAGTGCTCAAACTGGGGAAGCTTCACACCAGCAGCAACATTCTCATGCAGTTATCGAATTTTAAGCGATGCATTTTGAACATTGTCAAGGACAACGTGTTTCATGTCCTCCCATAGTTAATACACTAGATGCTACATGCACAAGAAGTGTTCCCCCAAAGTGATGCAATTAGCTTAATATTCATTTCCCTTTATCAAATTATAAGCAGCTTCTAAGTGCCTTTCATCTGCAAAGAGATCTACCATACAAGAAAAATGCTTTGTGCAGGGTAAGATTTAATATATGCTAACCATATAGTTAAATAATTATGATCCTTCACCACACAATCAACTAAGTGTGCTGGCAAAGAGAAGAATCTTATGTCATATTATAAGCTGATATGTATTGAAATCATTGATAAAGCCTCTTATGGTTGTTTCCAACATAAGCGAAGCTCTGCCTCAAGCCGGAATCATCTTTGAGGATGGTGGCAACTGTTATCTCACTCATTGAAGTTTGTACTTTTCCAATTTAAGGCGCTTTTTTTTTTTTTTTTTTGAGGTGTCTTTTAACCCTTGGAGGACTTTTAACATCATGGCACAAGACGATAGATTGATATGATTAGGAGCTGTAAAATTTTTGAGAGGGATATTTCATGCATGTTTTGCATAATTTGTTCTACTACTGATATTCTAAAAACAAATTTCAGTATTGTACGCCTTTTAGCATGCTTTTTTGTTACATGCCAATTTTGTTTTAATGTATTTCACATGAACTCTCTCGCTTTATTACTATAATTAGTTTGGTTAACTCAATCAACAACCGGATAACGCGTTTTGATTGTTGGATAAATATATATATATATATATATATATAATGATTGTAATTAAAAGAGCTAGTGAAAATGATTTCATCATAATATCATTGTACTTTCTTTTTTTTTCTTTGATCGTTCATAATATCATAATACTTAATATTAGAATATTTAATATCAAATGCAAAATATTATCAATTGTAACAATCCCAACAATAATATTAGCTATAAGAATATATACAACTTTATTGATAACCTCCACTACACATTTGCTTTATAAGTGCAGCATACTCAATTTCAAGAATTCAAGAGCAGATATCAATGGAATCACTGCAATACATATTAATCTGAGCAAAAGGGGTAAGGTTTGAGAATATCTGGATCTCCTCCGTTTTAACTTCCTTCCCTCTTTTTCCTTGTCCTTTGATCTCTTGTCTCTGCTCTGATTATTCAACTTCTCACCTTCCTTAATTTGTACTCAGTGAACTCCTACCCCTTGGACGGCTGGATTTCAAAGGATCCCAAACCCCTCTCCCTTTACAGCAAGAACTTTAAAAATAGAACTAAAACCTTTATGGTATGTTTGGGTTAAGGGAAAAAATTCTTCATTTAATTATTAGAAAAATTGGAGGAGAAGGAAGTTTTTTCTTTACTTAATTGTTTCTTTTAATTTAGTTATTTATTCAAATGAGGAGAAGGTAGGTGAGGGGAATGGAAGATTTTTTTTTTTTCAATTTAGTTATTTATCCAAATAATGGAAAGAAAGTAAAAAAAAAAAAAAAAAAGATATAATTTCTCGTTCCTCAACCCAAAGATAAAGTTATTGTGTGTTTGAATTAGGGGAATCTAAGAGAAAGGGGAGGAGAGTGAGGGGAAGATGCCTCTCTCTCCTTTGAATTTGTTTGTTAATGAAGGGGTCCAGGAAGTGAGATAGAGGGGTGATAAAATCACATTTACTCTTCAGTTTTCAATTACTAAATTAGAGAAATTATAAGGAATTTGATTTATATATTTATTATTTTTATTTTATTAAATATATAAAATAAATTCTCCCAAGTTTAGGTTTAATCTCCCTTGAAGGCTAGCTAGCTTTTGTTGGTGTCCATCATTCTGAGCATAATCCACGTGGGTTTCCTGAGTACCTATATTATACCCTTTTTGGTGTGAAATGACAAAAATTTTGAGTAAGAGGTCAAGTAGTTGGTGTTCAATAGCTATCTATCTTAACAATTGCTTTTTTAATCTATTGGTTTAAGTTGGTTATGTTGACTTGCAAATTTAACTTCATTTGCAAGTCTAGAACTAATTTAGTTATAATATTCATGTAGCATTTAGATTGCTCAATAAATTTATAGTGATCGTAGTGTGCTTTCCTTTAGGTTTCGTTGTGCTTGCAAATTCATGTTTCTACTTAAAGAAAAAGGACTTGCTAGTCTTTTTCTCGCTAATCAAGACCACATTGGCATTTCAGTTACCTGTTTTGACAACTTCAAACAAATGAACAGGTGAAAATTTTTTTACCCAAATGTATATATGCGGATCAATCGATAAATTGGTAAAATGTGATAATATGGGACTAGAATGAGCAATTGAAAGAAATGTACTAGATGTAACAATTATTAAGGAGAGTTGAGGGTGGGATCCAGCTCTTTCTCTTTCACAAAAAATATTTCAAATGTGTCCTTATGAGTCAGTCCTCTGCCGGGTCTTGTTTCATCAAGGCAGAAGGTGCAATTCAGCCCCTGTACCTGCAATGTTGTGGCAATTCAGCCCCTGTACAAGAAACACTGGCAAATCAGCCCTCCTACTACATGAAATCCGCAAATCACCCCTTCTGTTAAGGATGACGTTAGAAAACATCATTTTTCCGTTTCATTTTTGTGGCCCGTTAACAAAAGA